TCAAAATTGCCAATATCAGTCCATTTCAGCTCATTAATGCCTAGGACATAAACCTTTATGTGTTCTATTCCATTTGGACAAATTTTTAATTTTCCTAGATTCATACTTTTTATGTTCCATGCTGATTATTAATGGATGTTTGCAGCTGTTTCTCCTTATCTTGAGTTGTGCCCCATGAGCAAATGAAGGTCCTGAAAGCTTCACTCCATTCGCATCATCATGGTCAACTCTACTTTGAGGAGTCAGCTTTGACCCAGACATATTTTGAGTCACTTACAATTTGAGGGACTCATCTTCTGGTACTTTATTTGGGAATATTCTGGTGCTATTTATATTTTCATCTTCTGGCACTATATCTGACAATGATCCACTGCTATTTATAAGGTTTTCAGTGACTAAACTTTTGGAAGTGGTCTGTTTCCCTTTCTTCCTAGACTGCCTTACTCTGGAAGGTCTGCTGAAACCTGTCCACCATGGCGGAGCCTGTTGTTGTTGTTAAGTGTCGAGTAAGTTAAGTGTCATCAAGTTGGTTCTGACTCATAGTGACCCTGTATAGGATTTCCAAGGAGAACTGGTGAGTTTGAACCACTGACCTTTTGGTTCAAACAGCCCTTGTGGTCCAGTGCTTCATCCAACAGCGCCACACCAGGACTTCAAAATTAAGTGCCATCAAGTCGGTTCCGACTCTTAACAACCCTGTATAGTTTCCAAGGAGCAGCTGGTAAATGTGAACCATCGACCTTGCAGTCCAGTGCTTATCCTACAGCACCACACCAGGACTCCATTGGGTGACCCTGTTGGTATGTAAAATGCCAGAAGATAACTTTCAGCATCACAGCAACAGGTAAGCCACCACAGTACACAAACTGATAGAGGAGTGTTGAGGTTACTTATCTAGGTAACTAATATTTTTATGGACAAGAAAATCCAGGCTCTGAGACATTCATTACTCAGCCAAAGTAATCACAACTAACTTTGGGAGTCAAAAATACACACCACAAACCTGTCTACTTCCAAGGCCTTTGCTTTTGATTGAATATGTAAAATAATAACATTGATGATGTTTGTGACCAGTGTGACCATCACCTAGGATAACTGTCCTAGACATAGCACTGTCCAGTACACAGTAAATAATCAGCCAGCTAAACACCGATTGAATTGAATTAGTTGATCATTTTATTATTTGACCTTTTCTTTGAGATTGGAAAATTTTCTATTTGGGTACGGACTGGTTTGGTTAATAGCTTTATTAAGTATAACCAACATGCAACAAAGTGCATATATTTAAAGTGCACAATTTGGTAAGTTTTAAAAATACATGTTATGCCGTCGAGTGGGTTCCAATTCTATGACCCTGCAGAGGTTTACCAGGGTGTAAATCTTTGCAGGAGCAGCGTCACTGGTGCAGTCAGACTTGCGGTTCACAGACTTGCGGTTCTGGAACCACGGTTATGTAACACACTGTTGTTAAGTGTATTACCATAGCTGTTCCAACCCATAGTGACCCAGAATAGGGTTTCCAAGGAGCGACTGATGAGCATACACACCCATAAAACCATCATCGGAATTGGGAAAACTTAAGGGCTTTCAAGAAAGGGGAAGGAGACCACAGCACTGTGAAACACAAGGTCGGTGGTTCAAGCCCACCAGCAGTCCAGAGGGAGAAAGATGAGACATCTGCTCCCGCAAAGATTTGTTGTTGTTACGTGCCATGGAGTCAGTTACCACTTATACTGACCCTATACTGGGTTTTCGAGGTGGTAAATCTTTACAGGAGCAGAAAGCCTCATCTTTCTCCCACGTAACAACTGCTGACCCTGAGGTTCGCAGCCCGATTCGTAAACAATATGCTACCTCGGAAACCCTAGACAGACAGGGTCGCTGTTGAGTCGGAACCAACTCCACAGCACGTAACACGTAACAAGTACCAAGTACAACAAATAAAGATTAATTGTCCTGGTGCGGCACTGGAGGATAAGCACTCGATTCCGCTAACCACAAACTCGACGGTTCAAGCCCACCAGCAGCTCTTTGGAAACCCTAAAATCAACATCACAACCCTGCCGCTAGAACACCGTGGCTTTAGACGATCCCATCTAACAAGAGCCAGGAGTATCTGGAGAACGGTAACGTCGGGTGTAATATCAAAACCTCAGCTCTGAGTTCCCATCCGGTCCGTTTCCGGATCCCCAGCCACTCCGAGTACTCCCGGCGTGCAGCGCGCCCGCTGAAGGCGGGGTCTGCCCGGAAGACGGAAGTACAGAACTTCCGGTCGGCGTGTTCTCAATGCTGCATGTGTTTGCAAGGCTTCTCAGGTGAGTTAAGAATCTTTTGGGTCTAGTTGGTCGTGGGACTAGGGACTCTATTCTGCTGTATATAGAATATGTCGTCTCAAGCCTCGTCCCCCTCTGAGCCTAGCTTGGTGCCGAGAGGCAGCCCTCTCTCAAGATCGCGGGATTCCCGAGAGCGGCCAGTGCTCGGGTTTCCAGAGCTCTTGTTAAACCCCTGCCTTCAGGGTTGTCTGCTATTGTTAGTGGTCATGAAATTGATTCAGATCACAGGTGTGCAGAGTAGAAATGCTCTGTAGAGTTTTTATGATGTGAACTTAATGTAAGCACTGTTTCACTGAACGTGAACTTTCACCTCACCTGCGTTCTTGGGTACTTCTGAGTGGGTTTAAACTTCCAACCTTCCAGCTACTTGTTAAATGCCATCGAGTCGTTTCCGACTCAGGTTAAGTGCTGTCGAGTTGGTTCCGGACTCTTTGCGATCCTGCATAGGGCTTCCAAGGACTATTTTTGTGTGTTGTGAATTGCCGTCGAGTCGGTTCCGACCCATAGCGACCCTGTATTAGAGTTTCCGAGGAGCAGCCGGTGAGCTTGAACTGCCGACCTTGCAGTTCAAACGGCTTTGCAGTCTGGCGCATTAACCCATGAAATGCCGAGTGTGTGGCTAGCTGCCCAGTGCTTATCCGGCGTCACACCAGGACTCCAGAGCGTAACAGTGTTGCTCCTCGCAGCCCTTCATTCTTAGTCCCTCATGGGGCTTCGTTTGTTGTAGGCAAAGAGCAGAGTAACTCTAGTTGCTGCCGTCGAAAAAAATGTCACTCAAGAAGTTTGATTTTTAACTATGCATTCTGCAAATAATTTTATTCCTTTGCTATTTGCAAAGCGCTAGCGGCACTGGGGAGTCCTGGTGTGGCGCCGTGGGTTAATGCGTTAGACTGCAAAGCCGTTTGAACTGCAAGGCCGGCGGTTCAAGCTCATCAGCGGCTCCTCAGAAACCCTATACAGGTCGCTATGTGTCGGAACCGGCTCAACAGCACTTAACAACAACAAGCAGCAACACTGGACTGCGAACCACAAGGGCGGCAGTTCAAACCCACCAGCAGCTCCTTGGAAACCCTATACAGAGTCGCTATGAGTTGGAATCAGTCTGCAGCACTTAACAACAATACATTGGGGGATTCAACTGTGAACAAGGTCCACTTAGTACCTACTTAGTCCCTGCCGTCGTGGATCCAAAAGGAAGCCTAAAACTAGATAGTTTTAGATTTAGCACGTAGTATGGATCCGTTTTGGAAGAGGTGCAGCCAGAGTGCTCCTTGGAGGCCAAGATGGCCAAACTTAGTCTCTCATACTTCGGACATATTGTCAGGAGGAGTCACTGGAGAAGGATATCATATTTGGTAAGGTGGAGGGTCAGAGAAAAAGAGGAACCCTCCCTCCCCCTCCCCCCCCCTCAACGAGATGTATTGGCCAAGTGGCAGCATCGATGGCAACAGTAGTGAGGTTGGCCCAGGATCCGGCAGTGTTTTTTGTTCTGCTGTGCATAAGGTCGCTATGAGTCGGTACCAACTCGATGGTGCTTAACAACAACAATAACGTGGTGGTGGTGATTATGTGCCGAGCCCGATTCATAACCACTTTACTAGTCGGGCTGCCAACCGAAAGGTCAGCAGTTCGAAACTACTAGCGGTTCTGCGGGAGAAAGATGAGGCGTTCTGCTCCGGTAAAGATTTACAGCCTCGGAAACCCTGTGCAGGGTCACTGAGTCTAAGGGACTCCACGGTACTTAACAAGAACAACAACACTACCAGAGCGCCTTGCATAAGATTTAAAAAAACAGCAACCGATTATTTGTAGATGAGGAGAGGGTAGTTTACAGATTGCTAGAAGAGAATCCCTCTCTGAAGTGGTGGCGTTTATTTCACACTGATTGATGGAGTGCTTGTGCATTAGGAAGAGCAGTCCCAGGTACAGGCACAACAGATGTAAAAGTACTGAGGTGGACATATGTGGACTTTGTTTCTTATGTAGTTGGATCTTGGGGCTGGTGCTGGAGAGTAGATTAGAGTTAAAGAGGGCTTTGAAAAGCTTACACTAATCACCTGATGTGGAATTTGGGCCTGGGACCCAGAGTTGGAGAGAAAAGAGCAGAATCAGACAAGTTTAAAATAGCTTGGCTTGTTGTTATGGTGCCATCCAGTTGTTCCTGACTCATAGCGACCCTGTGTAGGGTTTGAACAGCTGACCTTTTGGTTAGTAGTCCAGTGCTTATCCTTGCATGCCGCACCATGTTGGTTTGGAGATAAATAATGAGAAAGACTGGGGTGTGGGGGAAGGGTAAGCTTGGGGAAAATCATGATTTTGTTTAAAGATGATGTTTATAAAAGCATTTTGTAACTTGTAAGCAAGCTGTTGTATAAATGTAAGCTGATGCTTTGCATTTCTGGAGAAATTAAATTTCTGCATGTTCTAAGGAAACTCAGAGCTTTCACAATTGGCTTGATTTTTAGTTTGCCAGTGTGACACAGGAAGCAGGAAGTTACTTAGTGACTGTACTTGCCATGTTGATCCTAACATAAATTGTACATGGAATCATCATAAATCATAAACAGTGTTTTACCTGCCCTTTGGTTTTCCAAGGATTTTGTCCTTTTCTGTTTGGGTAGTAATTACATGTTTTGTCTGTGTATTTTTGTGAAGTCTAGTTAAAACATGGCTAAAAGCTTACGGAGTAAGTGGAAAAGGAAGATGCGTGCTGAGAAGAGAAAAAAGAATGCCCCAAAGGAGCTCAGCAGACTTAAAAACATTCTCAAAGTAGATGGTGATGTTTTAATGAAAGATGTTCAAGAGATAGCAACTGTTGTGGTACCCAAGCATTGCCCAGAGAAAATGCAATGTGAGGTGAACAATGATGAAGGTGAGTTCATTTGTTTTGCTGTATGAGGGAACTTCAAAAAGTGTGTGGAAAAATGGAATTGAAAGACAGTGGAACTTTTCCACAAACTTTTTGAATCCCTTTTTTATACACAAATAACATGTATAATTCTATAATTTTCCTTTTTGTAACTTTTTCCCTTTTTGACTTTCCTTCACTCCCAAATACTACCCTACAAAGCTCTTCCTGCCGTACCCACATTTTAATTCTTTGAAGGCTTGTACTGCTAGACAGTCTATGCTGAACTATATTAAAGCCACTTCATGAGACTAGGCATGTTTTGAATCCTTCAGGGTAGATAGACTTTGGCACTTACATGTCTCATGTCTCGGCATAGCTATACTACAGGAATAGACTGACCTAGACACAACGTGGTTGGAAAGGTTCATATTTCAGGCTGCATTTGGGCAGGATGGAAGGTCTTTCTTCATTTTACCCTCTGCGTGATCTAGTTCCCACTCTAGGAATTCCGAGACTGTTATCTTTAAAATTGTAGGCTTTTGCTTTTTTGCTGTATTTGCTTTTGACTGTTTCTAGGAACCTCTGTGGACTTCTGGTATGGCGCTGTAAGATCAGCACTGGACTGCAAATCACAAAGTTGGCCTTTTAAACCCACCCGCTGTGCCTCATAGCACTTAACAATAACAACAGGAACTTCTGTGTCTTAATTACACAATTTGAGGTGGTATGTGATGCTAATTTCAGTAGAAAAGTTTCTTTGGCTTTCACATGCTAATACATCAGCTAGGCAGTACACTGAATTAGGCACTGCCAGCTCCCAATCAATTTCTTAAGGTATATATATTTAGTTGCTCTTCTCATGGAAGAAAACAGTATTCTTCAACCTTCCAATCCTAAAAGTTTCCTTCCCATTCTTCAGGATGTCCATTTCTTGTTTTCTCTTCCCATTCCAATCCTCTGCTGCCTCACACTAATACAAAATTATAAAAAGCTCTCTTATCTCTTTTTCTTTGAAAAGTAGGCATAATTGAGAAATAGCCTCATCTCCCCACTAAAGCCTTGGAATGTATGAGGGGCCTTCAGAAAGTTCATGTAAAAATGTAATTTAAAGATCATGGAATTTTTTCATGGACTTTTGAAAGCTCCCTTGTATAGTTCTGTTTAATAATAAACCCAATAATCATTCTGTGTTCTTCAAGAAATTCTATCAAGATTACCTTTTGAAATTCCAAAAAAACAGTTTATCGTAACCTTCTGAGTTACCTCTCTGCTCTGCTCTGTTGTCTTTGAGGTCTTTCTTAATCTTCCTTAAAATGCTTGCTCCATCTAAAAACTTGATTTACATGGGGTGGCATTCCTGTAAATGTTTTGCAAAGCTTCAGTGATCTGGAAGATACCCGCTCGGATTTTGTTAAATTTTTGATATTGTCCTGGTTTTAAGATCCTATTCTTTTGTAGCACAAAAAGTATTCTTTTAAAATGTTTTTAATGGCACCTAACAAGTAAGAGAAGTATATTACTGAGAAAACTTGTTTGTAGCCATCCACTGATTGCAGAGACACGTTGAAACATGTTTTGTTTGTAATAAACTCATGTATGTATGAACTGTAACCAGAGTAGCAATATTTTCTGAGCAGTGTATAAGACTTCCAGGTTCTCTGTGTCCTTATCCACACTGGTCATTTTCAGGGGTTTTTTGTTGTTAAGTTCTGTTGAGTTGATTCTGACTCATAGTGGCCCTGTATAGGTTTCCGGGGAGCGACTGGTAACCTGAACTGCCAAACTTGCAGTTCAAACCAACCTTACAGTCTAGCACATTAATCTACAGCGCCATACCTGGACTCTAAAAAATATGGCAGATGGTATGGTGGTGGTTGGTGGTTGTATGCTGTGGAGTTGGTTCCAACTCATAGCAGCCCTGTGTAGAGTTTCCGAGGCTGTAAATCTTTATGGGAGCAGAAAGCCTCATCTTTCTCCCGCGGAACGGCTGGTAGTTTAGAACTGCTGACCTTGAGGTTAGCAGCTTGACTTGTAACCACGATGCTATCAGAGCTCCTTTGTAGATCGTTTAGCAGCCAACTCAGAAGGTATGAAGTGGTAACTCATGTGTTTTTTTTTTTTAATGTTTTATTGTGAATTATATGATAGTTTACATGAGAGAACTTAAGTTTTACATTCATTCCATTGTATATCATTTCATTGCCATGGTTCCAATCCCTTCCATGCATCATCTTCCGACCAAAGGGTATATCCTAGAACCCCGTCCTCTACACTTCCCCCTCCCCCCACTCATGTGGTTTTGATTTTCATTTCCTCAGTGACTAATGAACAGCCACTAAAGAATAGATTTAAGCATAGCAATGATTATGAATACAGTGCAAGACCAAGTACCATTTCGTTGTGGTATACATAAGGTTACCATGAGTTGGAGCCTACTCAACAGCAACTAACAACAATAGCAGCTAATGATGTTGAGCAGTTTATTGACCCTCTATATCTTCTGGTGTGGTGCTGTGGGCTAGTGCGTCAGACTGCAGTGTTGTTTGAACTGCAAGATCAGTGGTTCAAGCTCATCAGCTGCTCCTTGGAAACCCTATATCAGGTTGCTATGGGTCGGAATTGACTCGACAGCATTTAACAACAACATACCTTCTATTCAGATTCTTTTCCCATTGTTTAAAATTGGGTTCTTTGTCTTTTTCAATTTTAAGAGTTCTTGGTGTGTTTTGTGTCTTTTTAAAAAATGTGTTGTAGATGAAAGTTTATACAGCAAACTTGATTTGCCATCAGTAATTCATACACACATTGTTCTGTCACATTGGCTGCAGTCTCTGCAAGGTGTCAACATTCTACCATTTCCTTCCTGGGTACCTGCTGACACTTGTCCTGTTTCCCTGCATCTCCCTGCCTCATTTGTTTTTCGGTAGGTGTTTCTTTTCGGTCTTGTATAGTTGATTTTTCAAAACATGGCGCCAACCATCCCACCCACAGCACTTTCTTCTCATCTGGGTTTGATCATTCATAGCAGTTGACACACAGAACTCAGACACCATAGTCAGAGCCCAGTTCTTCCAGTCAAGTCAGCCTTTCAGCATGCCACAAGACAGACCTCTCTGCCAAGGCAGTATTACAAAGCTCTTTAGGACTGCCGAGAGTACGTACAGGACACAACACAAGCCTCAGCCAGAGACACTGGTCTCTAGCTTAGAGGGTCAGCAATTCAGATCCCCAATAAGTACCTGGAGGCACCCCCCTATGCAAGGAAGCCTCCTGCCCAAAGTCACTCCGCTTCACTTGCACCTGGGCTAGGAAGCCTGCCACTGTCCTGTGCTTTGCCACTCTTCTGTTTTATAACAACTTTCTGTCCCTGAGGGGAGGAGGTTCAATACACAGGGGTCTCTAGGTCCAAAGGACACACTTCATTCCTGGCTCATATTCTCTGATGTTAGTGACATCCCCCTTCCTGCTTCTAAGATGGCTCATTTTATATCCACATTAGAGCTCCAAAGTCGATTCCGACTCATAGTGACCCTGCACAGGGTTTCCGAGGCTGTAAATCTTTACGGGAGCAGAAAGCCTCATCTTTCTCTTGCAGAACCGCTGGTAGTTTCGAACTGCTGACCTTGAAGTTAGCAGCCCGATTCATAACCACTACGCTACTAGACCTCCTTACTTACATACATACATACATACATACATACATACATACATGTATGTATGTAGTGGTTACAAATCAGGCTGCGAGCCACAAGGTCAGCAGTTTGAAACTACCAGCTGTTCTGCGGGAGAAAGATGAGGCTTTCGGCTCCTGTAAAGATTTATAGCCTCGGAAACCCTGTGTAGGGTTGCTATGAGTTGGAACCGACTCCATGGCACATAACAACAACAATAACATATATATGTGTGTGTGTTTATAATGTATAAATGCACTCACAAACATTTACTTCCCTCAAAATGAATACAAACATGTGCAAACACACATATTTCCCCTAATGCTATAGTGTATCTATTCCATTAAACCTTATTTTCTCAGGCTTCTCTGTACCTACTGCAATGTGGGGTTGAGTTATGTAGATCTGATAACAGAGCTCTATAACAAACTTTTATTATTTGGAAAATGGCAAAACAATTTAAAAAAAAATCTTAAATTTTGTCGGTTTTCATCCTTGTTTGGCAGGAGTAGAATTTTCAAGGTTTTTTTTGTTTGTTTGTTTGTTTGTTTTTTTATTGTGGAGTGAGTGATAGTTTCCATGGGAGAACATTGGCTTTACCCCATTGTTTCATTGCAATGATTACAGTCTCTTCCATGCATCATCATTCAACAGTATTTGCTTCCATTCCCTTTTTTTTTTGGGAGGGGGTGTTAAGAGTGGAGGATGTACACAGAAAATATATTAATTTAAACAACCAAAGAGCACATTCCTTTCTTGTCTTCTTAATGACCTTTTGCTTTCTTCCTGGATGATGTTCCTGATGTCATCCCACAACTTTTCTAGTCTTCTGTCTTTAGTGTCTAATGCATCAAATCTGTTCTTCAGATGATCTCTAAATTCAGTGAGATTTGTTCACGGTCATATTTTGGCTCTTGTAGATTGGTTTTAATTTTCTTCAGCTTCAGCCTGAACTTGCATATGAGCAATTGATGGTCTGTTCCACAACCTGGCCCTGGTCTTGTTTTATTGGAGGTGGTTTTGCTCAAATAGTTCAGGAATCATTAAATGGTTGGTTGGTTGGTTTTATTCAAAAGTGAAGGACTAAATGGTGATTAGAAGCTGCAGGCTGGTAGTCTTCATTGTAGAATGATTGGACAGGCCACAGGTGACTTTTATTGGGTAATCTCCTATTCCAGTACCTGTAGGGCTTTTGCGTTGATCATCTCTAGAGAAGAATGCCCTCATTTCCTACCTGTGAGAATGTCTTGCCCCCTTCATATCTGGAATATTCTAGGATCTAAATGGGGAATAAGAGGACTGAGGACAGGGGTCTGCCCATTTAGTAATCTCTCCGATAGTGGAGATGACCTGTGATGTAAGGCCTTGAGGACTATGGTGAGTTCCTGTGAAGGGTCTGGCTGGGTCCTAATAGTTAAGGTTGGTTGGCAGTGGGTGTGACCAGAGACTGGCTGTGCTGAGTGTCCTGACAAGCCTCTTGTCAGGAGAAATGACTCTCTGGTGCTGTCTGATAGAAAATGTGTGCTGGCCTCACAGTGCATCTCCCTGTCCTCTCCCTGGACCGTCTCTGCCATCACACGCCTGCAAGTTCACTTCATTGTAAGTGGGCAGCCATCCCTGAGCAACTCTTATGCATACCCATTACAAGTGTGGAGCACTTTTCTTCTTGACTCAGCTTAATCTTACTTAGCTTTAGCAATGTGAGAAATGCTTTTATAAAGCACATATGCCCCAAACTCTAAAGTTACCCCTAAAGTGCAAAACCACATATTTGTTTTTTATGTAATCTTTACTAGACCAAAAAAAGTCATGATAATATTCTTTAGAAAATGTCACATTGACTGCCTAGATGATGGTCTTTGTTGTTAAGTGCCATTGTTAAGAGTCAGTTCTGACGCGTAGCGGAGTGGCTGGTAGGTTTGAACCACCAACTTTGTGGTTAATAGTCCAGTGCTAATCCTACAGCGCCACATTCATTTTGTGGTTTTCATGGTTGTAGGTGTGCCTGGCATTCCACTGAATGTGCTGCAAGGATTTTTCAGCGTTCTACAATTAAGGGAGTTTTTGGTTTTTAATCTTTTGTAATACCAAACTGAATTTTGACATTCTCAGCGCACTGATGTATTGTCTCAGGATTGGTATCTCCTTCATGAGTTGTCTTTTCATTCTTTATTCAGATGACATGAAAATGGAGACTGAGGTTAAGAGAAACAAGAAGAGTCTTCTGGATCAGCATGGACAGTACCCAGTGTGGATGAACCCGCGGCAAAGAAAAAAGCTAAAGGCAAAGCGAGAAAAAAAGAAAGGAAAAAACAAAGCAAAAGCGGCGAAGGCAGCGAAAGGTTTAGCCTGGTAGACTCTGAAGCACTTGGAAGAGTGCCCCACGAGGCAGTTGTTTGATTACAGTGTACACATTGACGTCAACTTCCACTACTATTTATTTCTGTATCCTAACTTGGCTTTTTTCTTTGATTCGAATCCATTGTAACTCGATTTTGTTTTGACAACTTGAATAAAATATTTTCTTTGGATGAGCGCTATACAGTACTCTCATTGGATGTTCACCAGGGCCCAGGTGTTATCAGACATGAAAATTCTGTCAAGGATATTTGGTTGCAATTGTTCTAGTAATTTTTTGTAGTCAGTAAATACAAAACAAAGGTTGTACTGACAGATTTAAGCTAACTCAGATTTACAGAAAGCTACTATGCAAACATAACTTAAAAATGAAAATATTTTTAATCCTTTTTATTTTTGCCATTTTGCCATTCTTACATGGAAAATCCAGCCACACCAACCCTACTCCCAGTGGTTCACGGCCATCACCACAACCCATTTCCAAATCGCCTTTTTTCCCTCTCCTTTTTTTTACTTCTTTACTTCCCCCCGCCCCCTTTTTTTTTTATTTGTGGGATAGTTCCTAGTGGTGGCTCTCTGGGTTAATGTGTTGGACGGCAAAGTCGGTTTGAACCACAAGGTCAGTGGTTCCAGCTTACCAGCTGCTCCTCAGGAACCTTATACAGGGTCGCTGTGAGTCGGAACCAACTAGACAACACAACAACAATGAGAAAATAAATTTACAGTGTTTCATTTCCAGCATATGAAAATAAGACAATCCCTCTCCCTAAAAAGGGGAAGAAAGCAATTTTCTCTTTCCCTTCCTTTTCAACTGCCTTCCCCTTCATCCAAGTTAGCAGGCACCTACGTACATGCTTCCCATTGAATAATTCTCTCCTCCCAGTGCAGGTAACCATCATAGAAAGTTTGTTATAGAATGAAAGTTTTTTCTCGACTTTTTGTAATGATGGTCATATAATATCTGTCCTATTGCAATCGAATAATTTCACTTAGCATAATGTCTTCCAGGTTCTTCCATAGTATGTGGTATTTTGCAGATTCTCATCATTATTTTTCTTCTATTAAACATCTGTTCAAGTTTTCTACAGTAGTGTGTGTTAGTTTACATAGGTCTCATGTTTCTAGACACTTTTCCATTTCTTTTAGGTTTTCAAATTTGTTGGAGTACTATTCTTTGTAGTATTCTGTTCTTTTTATTTTTGTTTCTAGTCTTAATTTCTGAGTAGTATATTAGCATGTTCAAACCGATCTACAGTTTTAGGAGATTAAAACATCTCAGATTTTATCTTGGGACTAATTTAATGTTACTCAGTTTTTATTTTATATAGCCTAGTGTGTTCCTTGTTTGACACTGGGTTAATGCACTGGTCTACAAGGTTGATTTGAACAGTAAGGTCGGCAATTGAAGCTCACCACTTGTTCCTTGGAACCCTATACAGGGTAGCTATGAGTCTGAACTGACTTGATGGCACTAAACAAGAAGTATATTCCTTAGAATCAGTTCTGGATTGTTGTTAAGTGCCGTCGAGTCGGTTTCGACCCATAGCGACCCTGAATAGGGTTTCCGAGGCTGTAAATCTTTACGGGAGCAGATCGCCTCATCTTTCTCCTGTGGAGCAGCTGGTAGTTTCGAACTGCTGACCTTCCGGTTCGCAGCCCGATTCGTAACCACTATGCTACCAGAGCTCCTTAGTTGGTGGAAAAAGGATTTTGAGGTCACCTTAATTTGGGAAATGCTACATACTTGAAAAATAAAAAGTCCTAGCAGTCCTTGTAGAGACCTAGTATAAAGTGCCCTGTGTAACTTTGTCTCCTGAAGACTAGTATTCTGAAGACTGCTGCTGGAAGTGCTGGTCTAATGAAATGCGTTTTCTTTAAGTCTGCCTTGTTACAGTTCTCTAGCACTGGAATTAAAATTTATTTTTAGGCAAGCAATCTAAATTTGGCATTACCCTTGAAATTTTATCATAATGCTGTTTGTTCACGGGGACAAATACTGAGTGCTTACTGTGGATTTCTGGTGTG